CAGCTTGGTATCATCTGTGAACTTAATAAGCATACTTTCTATGAACAGAACCGGTCCCAAAACAGACTCCTGTGCAACCCCACTTGTTTTGGAGGGATTGTTTTTTTGCATCTCACTTGTGTAGTTCTCGACTGATTTTTTTCTGTGGTTCAATGGTCCCTGGTCCAAAACAGGTTCCCCGCCCCTCCCATAAATAAAGATAATGCTGAAACTTTTTGTGTTGGACATAATATTGTATTTAAAAATGAAGCCTAGCCAACAAGTCCCCAGCTGGGGCCAAGCCCCCATCTAGCTGCAGCATCATAACACTCCTGCACTCTCCACAGACCCCAACCAGGACTCTTATCATAACCTGAACCCTCTGCCCTGATTCTTTCACGTCCCCAAGCTCCTGCACCCCCATATCCCAGTTTTCTGCAACATCACTGCTGTACCATCCACACACCGCAAATCTGTGTGCTGAGCCCATCATACTCCCTACCCCGCTGCACAGAGCCCCTCATATACTCCAACCCAAACTCCTGCACCCCCACATTGACAAACCTGTGGCTTGCTCAGCACCCCAACCCTCCACCTGACTCCAAAACTCTCCAGCCTGGAGTCCCCTCCCTGAGCCAGCATACCCTTCTTCACCTCCTCCTGCACCCATATTCCCTCCCATAGCTTGCACCTCTCACCCCTTCCCATACCCAAATCCCTCATTCCCACTCCAGAGCCTGCACCACCTGTTTCAACCCAGTGAGAGTGAGTAAGGGCTGGGGACATCAACTGTTGGAGAGGAGAAGGGGTGGGGTCTTGTGGAAGGGATGAGGTAGATCTTGGATTGTCCTGACATTTAAAAAGTGATTTTGAGTGTAAAAAGGTTGGAGACCACTGGCAAACTGTCTTTGCTCAGACTTTTAGAAAAACCACCTTGAGGGACACTTTGACCAGGACTTTTCAAAGGTTTCATTTTGAAAAGTGAAAACTTTGGAAAGCTTAATACAGGATTTTTTGCATGGAAACATGTAGGTAACCTTAGTCATATATCTTGGTAGTGCAGGAGCTAACGTTAGAATTATTTAATACTCAGGTTAAGGAAAGCGTTTCTGTGCCTCTGGATATAATGCTTAAGTTATCTACAAATACAAAGTTTGGTGTAAAAGTAATAAAATACATATAATACATAATCTGCAATATCTCAAACTAGGGTTAATAAATTCAATGATACAGTTAAAATGGTCCATTCTCGGAAATGCTTCCAGTTTCACGCGCAGGGCCAGGTAGGCAGGCAGAGCTTCAGAGTCTCAATGTGTGGATGAGATGATGGTGTAGGGA